GACGTCAGAATATTTAATTCAGCTGCTATGATTTAGTATCTTTTGTCCCAGTGAGACCATTCGTTCTCTCCCATTCCGCGCCCCTATAGTCTTACCTCTTCAACACACACAGCCTGATTCGTCAAACTGTGAGTCGCGACCTACTCAAAAGGGGGTCACCAATTTCTCAAGAATTATTTAAAATATAATTGCATCCATTCGCGGTGTTGGCACAACCCTAAATCAGTAAGATTTAATATAGATGCCTTCGGAAAATGTTGCTGTTGTCGACGAAACACTTCGCGAATATATTGTGACGTATAGATCCACTGCTAGGTAACGTCTCGATAAACACACTCCTGCGGAAGCCAACGCCTAACAACATGACGTCTATTGCTAGGCAACGGCTCACTAAGCACGCCTAAAACAATACGGGACAACAGAAGATGATGTTTTCTGTGGGGCTAGCCCCGAGGCTATATAACGAGAAGTTCCAAGGGAGCAGTTAGCTGTCAAGAACTGAGTCGAGTTCTTGAAATGACTGTCTAAGATGGTTGAGAAGAAATGGCAAGAAAGGAATGAAACTGTGACAAGAAGACTCCATGTGTGATCTGAAGTGACAGTGAGACTGTTATACTCTTATGAATCCGTTGCCAGGATACGACTAGTGAAGGCTGAGAACCCTAGTGTGTGTGTGTGTGTGTGCAACGGTGAACTGTAAAGTGTGTAGATCAGCAATAGCCTGTTTCCCCTCGTACTGTGTATAAGGTATCAATAAATCCAATCATCTAATCCGAGATCCGTCTTATAATTCACGCACGCACGCACGCCTTCACGTGACAATATTCATGACTCTACATAAATTTAATTGGCATGGGGAGGGGTGGAGTCCAACTGGGTCCACTCGGCACGGCGGCCACTGATTGGTCTGTTGTACCTGCCCCGGTTGATTATGATGATGGAGAATTTGGTGGAATGAAGATTGGCATGAGAAACCGAAGTACTCGGAGAAAACCTACCCCAGCGTCACTTTGTCCACCACAAATTCCACTTGACCAGACCCGGGTTTGAATCCGGGCCGCCGCGGTGGGAGGCCAGCGACTAACCGCTTGAGCTATGGCGCGGCCTACTCTACAAGAACATTTTACAGTTTATTGCCAAATGGAGAGGTATCACAAAGCCTTTAAGTTCCCTCTGTCACCCTTCATCAAGAGGGTGTCGCATAAAATTGTGTATAATTTTAGGGGTCGCAAAGTGTTGGAGCCACTGAATTAGAGCATCCAAAAACAAGAAATATCATGGGATGTTCTCTCTAATAGGTTCTTGATGGAATAAAATGTCGTTTTCCTACTTACCGCAACTACATCAGATGAGACCACAGGATGTGTACCACAGCTCAGTCCGCTGAAGCTGAAAAAAAAATAAGTGCATTAGTTTATAGTTTAATGAAGGTCAAATACATTTAAAACTGACAGACTTTTATTTTCCGCTGTTAACCATTAAAGTAATTCTATAAAATAATTCAGGTACATAAATTTTATACAAGGAAAGGAGTAGAAATATGCTTTCCACATATTCATAAATATCCATTTCGGTACTGCAGTAATTTCCTGCGATTGTTATATCACAAGTTTCCATACAAATGAATCTGAAAGAAACTTTTCATGCAAAACTATCCCCTCAATCTTGTGAAATGGAATACAAATTTGTGGTGGTCAGTGGGGTGTAGAGAAATTACTAAAACTCAGATTGTCTGTGTGTAATGATTTTGGTAGCACTGGTTGAAAAGAAAACATACCCACCTGAGGAAGGACTGTATGTGGCGGCTTTTCCAACCTCTGATTTGTTCACGTAAGTCGATAAGCTTAGTCAGACTAGCTCCCCTTTTCCTTCTTCTCACCCCTCAAGAGCCCAAGTAAAACAAGCACTGGCGCCTCATGGGAAAGTGCACTGGCTGTTCAGGCGGGATATGAATCCATAAGTGTTTCATACTGTATCGGAGGTTTCAAACATTCTTCTTTCCCATCTCTTGAGTAACAACACAGTCACCGTGCCTGAGTTTGTGTGTGTGAGCGCGCCTGTGTGTCTGAAGTGACACAGGCCTCTGCGTGTGTGAACGCGCGTGTGTATCTGATCTTATACAAGCCTCTGCGTGTGAGAGCGAGCGAGTGAGTGTGAGTGCGCGAGTGATTGTGAGCGCCCGCGTGTATCTGATCTGACACAGATCTCTGCGTGTGTGAGCGCGCGTGTGTATTTGATCTGACACAGGTCCCTGCGTGTGTGATCGAACGAGTGTGGGTGAGCGCGCGTGTGTATCTGAAATTAAACAGGCTTCTGTGTGTGTGTGTTTCATGCATGCCTGCATACGCACGTTCATGCGTTCTTAAAATCTACATACATTCATACACATCTAAGAATTTGGGGAGCAAACACATATCAGGGATATGTATAGCCACTTCCTGTACAGTAACGAAAAATCCCATCCTAAGAAAGATTATTTTTATACATATTTACTTAACTGTGGGGTCTAATTATGCTTGCTCACAAAACATTTCATTTGTGCTTATAACTATGAGTATATTTCCATCCTTACATTAGATAACGTAACTATAAAGGAAATAATATATTAAAACCAGCAAATATAATTTTCTAACATTATTTTATGCTATTTTAAGCTATTTATGGCATCATTATTGGATTCATAGTACTAAAACATTTATTAAGTATTTAGTATTTATTTTACAGTATTCTATATTCACAGCAGAATGAAAAAGATAAATATCTTATAGAATGTGTTGTAGCTTGAAGAGTCGTTACTATGCAATGACCGCGAGATAAGGAAATATATCACAGTCGTTTCTAGAAAACGGCTTGCTAAACACATTCCTGCAGTAAGAGACACGAATGCAGCAATGGTACAACAACAGGGGAACGGTGGTTTCCGCGCCGTTGCCTAGAAATCACTCTGGTATATTTATCTCAGGGTCGTTGCATAGTAAG